GCAAATTAAATGTCGTTTTTGCAGAAGGGAAAGAGCCGCTCCTTGTCCTGGACAGCACCGTGTGCCAAGTGAATACCAGATGCCATCTACCAGAGCGCCTGAGCCTGCCAATGGCATCGGACCTGGCGCTGTCCACGCCGGAGGACACTCCAGGCGCCTTCGTGGGCGCCAGCATTGACTTCAAAGCCGCACACAAACAGGTGCAGGTCCGCCCTGAAGAGCATGGCCTTCTACTATTCGCCTTTCAAGGAAAACTCTATCACTATAGAGTGTGCCATTTTGGGGGCCGTTTCTTGGCATTCTGGTGGCAGCGCACTGGCGCTTTTTTGCTTTGCCAGGTGCATGGGTTGCTGGCTTGGAAGCCCCCACAAAGCCTTCCTTTTTGTGGACGACCTTCTGTGTGCGCTCTTCCGAGATAGCGCACCAGATATGTTTGCCTTGGTGGTGCTTTTCTTTTGCGCCATTGCGGCGCCAATTTCATGGAAAAAGGCGCAATTCCAGGACAGCCTTGTTTGGTGCGGCTGGGAGATCAACTTCTCCCACAACACCATTCAGCTCATGTCCGCTAAGCTGACCAAGCTGGACGCCTTGATCAAAGCACTGCTGGGGAGCCGACAGGTACTCCGCAAAACACTCGAGCAGTGCATAGGCCTGCTCATTTGGGCCACCTCGATACCGCCTCAAATGTGGTCAGCCTTGAGAGCATCCTTGAACAAGGATCTCAAAACCAGCCATAGCCTTCCCGGCTTGTGGATCACAGTGGGCTCCAAAATCTTGGAAATTTCAGGTCGCACCATGCACTGCCCTCAGGACATCCCGCGGGTGCCCGGCACTAGCAACCACGTGGGTGCGCATCGCGGACCCCAATAACCCATATACTAGCCTTTCCGAGTCAAGCCAGCAATGCCTTACATGGCTGGCGTTGTGCTTTCAGCACTCGCCCGTTCAGCCCTTGGCGCGGCCACACCAGCTGCAAGCACTGGCTGCCGCGGATGCGTGTGCCGAAGACGACTTGGTAGGGATAGGGGGCTGGGCAATCACATCCTCCCAAGTGGTTTGGTTTGCCGAAACCTGGAACATGCGGGACATACGGGCTGTATGGCCTTGCCTTGTCAAGCCTGGACAGCGGTGCATCGCATGTTTCGAGAGGCACAGTTAGCACTACTGCAAGCAACCCACAGCCACATTGGTGGTGGGCACTACTCGTTCAGCATGCCTTCAGGCACGGACAATTCCGCAACGGAAGCAAGCCTTAACAAGTTGTTCACGACCTCCTGGCCGTTGCAACTTTTTTGTGCAGTTAACAGCCTTCTGGGCTCACGCTCACAATGTGCTGCTGCAGCCGACGCACGTTCCAGGAAGGTGCAATGATTGGGCAGACGATCTCAGCAGAGGTCGGTTGGCCCGATTCAGCCATCGCCCTGAAAGTCGCATACGCCTCAGCCCTGCGGGCCTAGTGGATGCGCCCTGGCGCCCGGAACACCTGGCAGCTGCCTCCAGCACTGCTTAGCCAGCCTTATTTGCATCCCAACATGCATTGCGACCAAATGGCCGTCTTCGCCCTGTCAGCCAGAACAACTGGCTGCGTCAGCCAGCCGCTTACATCAAGCCGCTCTGACCGAAAAAAGTGCAGACCCTGAGCAACAGGCTGCTCACAGCCGCAAGCGTGCATTGTCACGCGGACATTTGCCCTGCCAGGTACAACCCCACTCTGAAGGGCGGGTGATGAGGCCGGCGGCCCAGCTGGCTCGCTTATACCGGGGTTGCCTGAAACACTGAAGGGGGGGTCAACGCACCTCCTGTTCCAGGCGCACCAGTGCCCTGGAAGCAGTGCTACTTTCAGCAATCCCGGTAAAAAGAACTGCGGCCGCTTCGGACTTGCTTGGTTCTTTTGGGGGTTCATGTTTGGGTTCAAGCTAGGAGCAGTGCAACATGCCGTAACGCTTAGGGTTTCTTTTCCCTTGTGTTTAGGGCATGTTGTGAATCGAACTACGCGGTGGCCGTTTTGCTCCTAGCCTTGACCCAAACCTGCGGTTTCATTTGAAACCCACCCACCCACCCTGCACTGCCTTATACAAGGCTCTGCAAGTACAGGTCGCAGACGCTCTGCACTTTCGTTGGTGGTCTCCGGACCCCTCTTGGTCTCCGGACCAGGTCTCCGGACCAACTCTGGTCTCCGGACCATTCAGTCTCCGGACCTTGGGCGCGGGCACGCATGCCACACCCTGCAAGCACTGCATTCACTGGCAAGGACACGCATTGTCTTGCCCGTTTTAGTTTCACGGGGGGTCAACGCACCTCCTGTTCCAGGCGCACCAGTGCCCTGGAAGCAGTGCTACTTTCAGCAATCCCGGTAAAAAGAACTGCGGCCGCTTCGGACTTGCTTGGTTCTTTTGGGGGTTCATGTTTGGGTTCAAGCTAGGAGCAGTGCAACATGCCTTAACTTTTAAGCTCGCGTACCAGCGGGTCACGTCGAACTTTGAACGCACAATGCGTGACCAGGCTTGCGGCCAGAGTCGCGGGATATTCTGCGGTCAATGTGCTGGCGCACTCCTGCGATGCTGGCGTGCTTTTTCGGGTGATTGCAACGAGCTGCTACATGCTGGATGCATGGGTTGTTCGAAGCGAAACACCAAGATTTTGCAAAAGACATGCCGTGCTGGCATGCGTCCACCCATGCCAAGTGTCCGTGGAAGGCTTTGAGACACTGAAAGTTTTCCGGCTCGAGCCATGCCATGCTCGACGGCGGTTGCTCAAAGACTGCCACGCCTCCTTGTGTGGCAACTGCTTTGAAGAGTTCTCTGCTCCTCCTGTGGATTTCCCGGCTTTGTGCTACACGCGATGCTTCTTCGGGAGATAGGCCAGGCACGCCGCGCATGCAGGTTGGAGTGCAAGGCCCGCGGTCCCTCAGGGGAGTTTGAGTCTACTATACTCCTTGCACGGCGGAGCTAGGGTAATCAGGCTGACGACGCCTGACCAAGAGATGCGCATAAGCAGTTCAAAACATGCATCGTCAAGTATGTCGTGCTCTGAATTGGCCTCTAGGTCAAAAGCCTCGAAACGCGAGAGGCCTTGCCTGTCGGCTGCTGCTGATATGGGTGCATGTATTCCTGCGAAAACATCCGAGAAGAATCCTCCCTTGATGTGGGGTAGCATGCGCTCCCCAGCTGTGCGTGCAATGCTGGATGGGCAATCGGAGTTGCCTGTCCTATGCTCGGCTGCAGGATGGTGCCTTGGTGCGGATGGTGGGGGCTGGAGCGCCTCGTTCGCGGGCGATAAAACATGCGTTGCAGGCAGGCACGTGGTGTGGCCCGGATAAGCAGTGCCGAGTGTCACCCGCTGTGGGATCGCACTGTCCGGAGGAGCGGCCGGAGCGGCCTCCGGACTGTTTCAGGTGCGGTTGGAAGGATGCTGCGAGGCCCCATGCGCTTGCTGGCAGCCTTTTATGGCGCAAACGGGCACCAGCCTAGGCGCCCGTGCGGCCCTCGGCTTTGGCCGGGTGGTCTGCAGAAACTGAGGCATGTTTGGCGTGTGCATTCCCATCTTCCTTGCGGGGTCTTTTAGCGGACCAAGCTGAACCCCAATGCTCCCGAACACGCCGTGGCATGTGTGCTGGGGTTATGGGTGTGGCTGCGGACGTTGTAGACGACTTGAAAAAAGGGTCATGGCCGCAAGCACGGACATGAGCTCAACCAACTGGACGAACAACACGAAATCATGTGCTGCTTTCATCCAGGCTCCCTCTACCGTTTTGATGCAAAGCTAGTCTGGGCAGGGCAACGTGTGCGTCGCTGCAAAATAAGGTCAGGGCCAAGCGGTGCAGCACTGACGGCATCCTGGGAAAGATATGCAACGGCAAGTGAAGTGCATTGTTATGGGAGGCCGGAGCCTCGGGCATTGTACCTCTATGCCATGTGATCGCGGCGCCTCGGGCGCACTGCCTGCTAAAACAATCTCAGGCGGACACTCTGAGGTGAAGGCCATGGGAGCCCACCTGTACAGGGACGGAGTTCTGTGGGCGTGCCGAAAAGCATGCGCCGTCCAATGACATGCTTGCGGGGGCTACGCCTTTTCCTTTTTTTTCTTGCAGTTTGGCACGTCTCTCGACAGGGCGAGGTCTGCACCCTTCTGCTCACTGCCACTGCGGCACTCTGTGCTCGTACAAGCAAGCTCCTTTACACGCAATACGCAGTCTTCTGGCCTTTGGTGGAACACAGCTTCCCGAACGCCCAGGCGACCCCATGCCTCAGGAAATGCTCATAATAGGACCTGGTCCAACCAACGGAGACCCGGGTGCGCAGGAGCTGTTTTCTGCTGTCTGCTGCTCAGGAGATGCCACCGACTCGCCGGCCTTGTCTGCCATCGGATATATTCTGCCTCCTGACACGGGCGCGGTCGCAGTGGTCCCTATAAATGTACGTTTACAAGAACCCTCTAGATTGAGGCTTCTGCGTGCATACGGTGTAATCAATTAGCGCGCAGTGTCGAGCAGGCAGCTCACAGATGTTCCCGCCTCAGCCTCATAGCAGCTGTCTTGCGCCTCTCAAAGCGGCTCCGTACACCATGAGCTGTATCCGAATATATAGATTTTGGTTATTCTCCAAACTTACAAATCTGAGCGCACTCTGAATGACAAGCCACGGACACGCCCGCCTTCTTTGGCATCAGCTGGCTAATGCGTTATGAGACGGCTGCATATCCCAGGGGTTTCGTAAATGTGCACGCGCGGGGACCTTTCAATTCCATAAATATGTGCGCAGTTGGTGCGACAATCCACTGACACGCATTTGTACTTGCTTCCTCTGCACCTCGATTTTTTTTTCGTTTGCGAGCGAGATACTGCTGGGATCGAACGCCGGAAGATGGCCACTGGCACGCCTCTCGACAATGCGAGGTCTGCGCACAGGACTTCAACTCTGAGGGCATCAATTCTCACGCCCCTAGTTCCTTGCCTTCTTCGTCTTCTTCATCTTCTCCTTCGTGAGGTATTCCTCCTTCACTTCCAAGGGATGGCGCCAGAACTGCAGCATGACCGGCTCAGCAGGCTGGCCCACTGGCTGGTCCAGGCTGCGCACAAAGCTCACGTAGTTGAACATATACTTCCAAAAATTTCCTACGGTCTCCATCACGACACGGACACCGCGCTTCGTGGCGGCGTGCAGGAGGTTGTGCGGCAAGGTGAGGCGGTCAACGACGCCACGCTCCGCTGTGCTCGGGATGTCCACCCATGACACCACCAGGTCCGGCTCCCGGCTTTTTTTACTTTATGACCAGCCATCCGCGCTCACGCAAGTGGTGCTCAGACATCATACCGTAGCGCGCTGCCAGCATGTCCATGTCTGACTTTCCGAAATTGAAGGCACGCAACCCCTTCTGATTCTTGATGGGTGCGTTCGCCGAGTGCCGCGTCTCATGGAACCAGCTTTCATCCGGAGGAAGTATCTTGGCCACCGCCAGCCTTGCCATCGTCATATCCACGGCCGTCAAGGCTTGGCGGCACATATCCAAGACTTGCTCCTGGGAGTTCCGATCCTGCTCGTCTTCCAGCAGCACGAGCAGCTCCGTCGCGTGCTTCTGTATGAGGAGCGTGGACCTCGCAGTATATGTCTATAGCAAGCAAATATATCAAACATCAATAAACCAGCACCCTTCTCAAACTAGTGCACTCCAAAAAAAAACATCGAGGCGCTTGTCGCGCACCGAGGCTGGCTCCAAAGACGGCGGCTGCCAGATTGAAGCGCACGCACTGCTGGACGGCTCATCAATATTTGTTCGGGCACGTCTCGTCGTGTCCACGACACGCAGTCGAGACTGATTCGAACGTTCCGGATGCTAATCATGCTCAGCAGGAGGTCTCGATATCGGTTGCACTTCTTCTGCAGTGCTTGGTTCTCGTTTTGCTGGCTCTTGCATAGGGCCAGTGTGTTTTTTGTGTCTTCGGGTATAGGCCGCTGATCCTTGGATCAGTCCAGCGAGTCGCTTGTCCCTTCCAGCTCACGTCAATGGAGTTCGCGGCAGCGGGCGCAGCAGGCGCAGTGGGTGCAGGGTTCTCGGCATCCTTAGGCTTGACGCGAAACCTACAGCCCTGCTGGTGGTTTTCTTTGTTCCACCGGATAGTGATGTTCCACCGAAGCAGAGCTCTGGGCTCATCCAGGAGCGCCTGGATCCTCATCCTGACGAGGGCCTTGAGCGAGAATATTGTGGCGGACGCAGATCCGCCGTGGTATGTAAATCCCGGTACCTTTTCCGCTCATCTCAACCGGTACGACTACCGCGCGAAGCATGGCGTCGACTTTCACCTCGGTGGCATCACTGACTAAGATCGACAAGGCCGTGAAGTTGCCCAGCTTGGAAGATAGCTTACGGGGTGACACGGACCGTGGGAGACCTAGCCTCGAATCCCGGCGGTTCGGCGGGCTGCTTTTTCCACCCAAAAGCGCCCCGGTGACAAGCGGTGACAAGCGGTGACAAGCGGTGACAAGCGGTGACAAGCTCGGCGGGCTGCTTTTTCTACCGAAAAGCGCCCATGTCCAAAAGATCCATTGGCTCAGTGGTCAAGCCCGGTCTCTGCGATTTGCAGAATTCCGGGGCTCGAATCCGGTGACAAACGGCGACAAGCTCGGCGGGCTGCTTTTTCCACCCAAAAACGCGCCCGGTGACAAGCGGTGACAAGCGGTGACAAGCGGTGACAAGCTAAAGAAGCTCCCTTGGCTCAGTGGTCAAGCACTGTCTCTGCACCACCCAGGTCTGGGGCTCGAAATCGCTTAGGGTTTTCTTTTCCCTTGTGTTTAGGGCGTGTTGTGAATCTACTTCCGCGGTGGCCGTTTTGGCTCTAGCCTTGAGCCAAACTTGATCTGTTTCATTTGAAACCCACCCACCCGCCCTGCATTGCCTTTTTTACAAGGCTCTGCAAGGGAAGTTGCAGAAGCTCTGCACTTCCATTCATGGTCTCCGGACCTCTAGGTCTCCGGACCGCCCACGGTCTCAGGACCACCAGGTCTCTGGACCGGCGTGGGCACGCCTGCCACGCCTTGCGCGCACTGCACGCACCTGCAAGGACACGCACTGTCTTGCCTTCAAGTTTCACGGGGGGTCAACGCACCTCCTGCTCCAGGCGAAGCAGGGCAACCTTCAGCAATCCGCAATCCCGGTTAAAAGAACTGCGGCCGCTTCGGACTTCTTTGTTCTTTTGGGTGGTCTGGTTTGGGTCCAAGATAGGAGCAGTGCAACATGCCTTAACCCGGCTAATTATGTGCTCGAAACCCGACCGGGCTTGCCCATTAATGAACCAATATTGTTTCAAGCCAATTCAATATTGACTCAATTTTGCCAAGATTTCGAGCCCTGGAAGTCCCTCAGGACGTTCGGCAGGTTGGCGTGTTAGACCCGGTGACAAAGACGGTGACAAGTTCGGCAGGTTGTCGGGGCAGGGGTGAGGACCTCGGCAGGCTGCCGTGCTTGGGTGAAAAACGGAAAATCGTGTGAAGAACGAAATCTTCGGGAAGTCGGGAAGTTGGCCGTTTTGGGGCACTTTTTCGGCCAAAAAGGGAGCGGTGACGTAGCGGTGACAAACGGTGACAAGCTCGGCGGGATGGATCTTGGCAGCTTTTTCGGGTCGAAAACGGCGAATCGAGAGGCAGAGGCACCTCACTTGCCGTCTGACAGAAAACAACGAGCTTTTCGGGAATTCGGGAAGTTGGCCGTTTTGGGCACTTTTTCGGCCCAAAAGGGAGCGGTGACATCGAACGGTGACATCGGAAAAACGTTCAGCTGGATGGAGAATTTGGCTGTTTTGGCGGCTTTTTCGGCCAAAAACGAAAATTAATAGGGTGGTATAGGCCTATGTTCCTTTCTACTCGATGGATGTGCGTGGCATGTGCGGCATGTACGTGGCCTGTACGTGTACGTGGCAGGTACGTGACATGTACGTTGCCCGCACCCGGCACGCACCCGGCACGCACCCGGCACGCACCCGGCCCACGGGGTGGCGACGGGGTGGCGACGGGTGGCGATGGGGTGGCAACGGCGACGGGGTGGCGATGGGGTGGCGCTGCGGTGATGTCACAGAAGCGATGAACTCTAATGTGTTCTCTCGTGCCTTTTTTCCAACTCGTCAACCAGGCGATGAACTTCGGGCGAGGGGGCGATGAACTTGCCGAATTGTGTCCTCTCGTGCCTTTTCCGAGCTCGTCCAACCAGGCAATGAACTTCGGGCGAGGGGGGCGATGAACTTGCCGAAATGTGTCCCCCCGTGCCTTTTCCAAGCTCGTCCAACCAGGCAACGAACTTCGGGCGAGGGGGCGATGAACTTGCTGAAATGTGCCCTCTCGCGCCTTTTCCGAGCTCGTCCAACCAGGCAATGAATTTCGGGCGAGGGGGCAATGATTTTGCTACTGTGCGGACTACAAGCCCCGTGCTCGCATCGGCAAAATGCACTAGAATGCACGCACGCGGGCGCTCACGCAACTCCAAAACCGATGCCGCGAGAGGCCCTGAAACCCCAAATTAACTACGGGAGTATAGGCCCCTCTTTCATACCACTATGTACACCCATTTCTTTGGTGCACCAAAAAGATTCGTTGCACGGTCTACGCCCTAATACGCCCTAAACGCACATCAAACACACAGGCGGTTTCCGGCTGTGCGAAATCTTTTCATGAGCACGCTGGCCCACAAAAAGAAGCATGTTGAGTAAACTCTCTCAAACTAACTCTGAAAGTCCTTGAAGCGCAAGGGGCGCAATTTGCTTGTACACAGCGAACCTTGAAGTTCGGCGGTTGCGGCTCGGGAACATTCAGGGCATCCGACCATCCGCTCTATCCTTGTCAGCACAAGCCCTGCGGGGCCTCTGTTGGGCCACCAAAACGCATGCCTGCCTTTCGGCTTCACAGGAGTCGACATAGCATCGTCTTGGATCGCCAAGTGGCTCAAGCGCTGTTTGACCAGCAAGTTTGGTCTCCCGGAAAACCTTGCTGTTGTGGACAGCATGAGCTGGCAAATTTGGGAGCGCTTGCAGAAGGTGGTGGAGATTCCAGGCCCCAGCGATCTCAAGGATCTCAACGCATTCAGCACCATGGTGCAGAAAGCCCGCCCTGCGGAGCTGTCCTCCCAGGTGCAGCACGCGGAGTTAGCTTGGACATTCCTCTTAGGCTTCACGCGCGCCCAGGTTTCACCCTCAGTCAGCGCGTTGCTCGCCAACCCGGACTGGCGCAGCGCGTACGACAGCAGCCGAGTGGTGCGAGAGAGGGGTGCCAAGCTCCACCTGGAGCCGGACTGGGCCAGGTTGGAGAACATTGTTTGCTCCAAGGGCTTCAAGGAGGCCATCAGTGAGTTCTCCAGCTTGCGCCAGGCTGTACTGCGTAGCAGCCCGATCCAGTTGGCCGGGATGGTTGCGCAAGCGCGGGTGGCTTGGCTGTTCCTCGTGGGCTTCGGCGAGAAGCGCCGGCTTTTTCAGTCACAGCTGGCAGAGGTGGTCCGCGTCTTGCGAAAGGAGTCAGGTTGGCGGAGCAGCTTGGAGGAGCTTCGGCCGGAACTCCAGTCCGGTATCGCGGCACTGCCGGAGTCCCTTCAGACGGCCTTTGGCGCAGAGGGTGAGAACGCGCGGCCAGGTGGCTTGAGAGCGGCCGAAGATGATTTGGAGACTGTGGTGAGGGGTGTCGAGGCCCAGTTGACGGCCCCGGACGTGGATGCAAGCGATTCCAAGGCGAAGGAGAGGGTGATGCGTGAAATCAAGGAGGCCTGTACTAGAGTCAGGTCCGGGCACAAAGCAGAGGAGAACCGTGAGCGCAGCACACTGGTTGAAGCTAAGGACGAGGAGGGCATCTACTGGGTCAAGCTGCTGAATGAAGCGCGCCTGGGCTGTGCGCCTCCTCAATCAAGCCAGGCCTGGCAAAAGGTGATTGGCGACTGGTCCCAGAGCCACGAGGCAAGGCTAGCGCGTGCCCGCGAGCAGGCCAAGAATGCTGAAGCCCTCGCCCAGCAGGCGGCAGAGAAATGCGACAAGCTCAAGAAGGAGTATGAGGACAAGAGCAGGGCTAAAGCCGGCATCGATGCCAAGTTGAAGCTACAGCAAGAAACATTGCAGCTTTCAGCGGAAGAGGCGGCCTTGCGCCATCGGGAGGCAGAAGAGCTGTCAGCGAGCGGGGGGCCCGTCAAGCAGCTCAGGGACATTCTGGTGGGTGGCAATGTGGTGTGGGTGTGGGTGGAGGATGGCAACAGAGCCGCTAGCCACCCAGAAGACAGACGCAACCCGGAAATTGACAATGGGATCCTTTACCCTCAGGATGTCTGGGCGGAGATTGAGGCTCGCTGGCTGCTGTGGCAGCACAACGGCTTGCAGCACAGCTTTTCGGTGGATGTCGGGACCAAACTCTTTGCGCAGGAAACGGGAAGCCTCTACAGCATCACCCTGCATGCTCAGAGGCCCTTTCAGGAGAACGCCCGGACGGGTACGCGCCGCAACATCTTCCGCGTCAAGCTGGGCGAGGCGCGCACGGCGCGGCTCCAGGCTGAGCTGGAGCAGCAGCGGCGCCTCACTGCGGAGGAGCTGGTCAAGGCGGAGGAGCAGCTGGCGGCGCAGCTGCGCGCCAGCGCCTGTTTGCTGCTCGCGGCGGAGTTGATCAACGGCCAGGCTTTGGAGCTGCACCAGGGCCTGCAAGGCATTCCAGACGACTTCTCCATCCAGTTCCCGCAGGGCGAGCTGGTCGGCAAGGCGCAGATACCAGTGGCTTGGGAAGACATGGGAGGCAAGCTCTATGCCGAGGTGGAGCTGAGCCGGGGCAGCTTGGAGTTCCAGAAGCTGGAGGCCTACTTCCAGCGGACGACTCCGGAGAGGGTGCTGCGCATCAAGAGGATCCAAAATACGCCTTTGTGGTTTCTCTACCAGCACCGGAGGGCTGCCGTGGCATCCAAGCCCCAGAACAACGGCTTCCCCAACGAGGAGCTCTTCTTCCACGGGGCGAAGCAGCCAGGCATCACCAGCAAGATCCTGATGAGCGGCTTCGATGCGAGGTTCGGCGGCCGTCTCTGGTTCGCTACAAACTCGGCCTACTCGCGAGCTTTTTGCTGCCGCCAAGAAGCACCTCGGATGATTGTGGCGCGGCTGACGCTCGGCTATATCTCACGGGATTGCTGTCACTGCGGAAGAACATCCGAGGGCCACATGCGTAGAGACAAGGACTATGGAGGAGGACAAGATGAGCGTTACACCATCGAGGACGATTGCCAGACATACCCGGCTTACATCATCGAGTTTGGGTGAGCTCTGGCCTGGAATGCCCCTTTCTGTTCTTTTTTGACCAGAAGTGCCTGAGGAGCCGATGTACAGAACGGCTTGCCTTGTCTTACTTTCACAGTGAGAGTTCGTGCGTCGACCTCGTAGACTGTTTGCACTGCTGCAGCCACTCCGAGCAAAAAGTCAAACTAGACGAAAAAGCCCCCTAGTGATTGATAAATCAAGCCTTAGGTGCCTGGATTCCAAGCTTGGCAACTGCAAGTGTCATGCAGGCTGGCTGCTTGCCCTTTGGTTCGTGCTTGGACGGTCAATCTTTCGACGAGCTTTAGATGGAGTACTGGCAAGGAAAATGTCTGCCAAGCCTGCGAACAGAGGTGCAAGAGCACTTGATCGGATTGCAACAAACGCACCAACTTTCCGGTTCACGATTCCCTGTCCGCAGCTGTTTGTGTGAGACTCATGGAGCTGGAATCGGCTGCAAAGGTGACAGCCCTCGCGCCGGGCGGTTCCGAGGCCTTCGTGGCTTTGCGCGCGCGGAGTGTCCAAGCCAGAGCGGCTTCGGTGGTCCCGGCGGGCCCGCAGGGTGCGGGCGGCCGAGTTTCAGGCGTTCTGCCAGTCGGCCTTGCGGCCATTGGAAGCATTGGAGCCGAAGGGCTCAGAAGCCGTTGAAAAAACGGCTGGCGGCGGCAGCCCTTGAGAGCGCTGCCTTCCTGCACCACGAATGTGGAACCAGGGGGGTCAGGCCGAGTTTGTGCATCAGGCACAACAACTGTGGCAGCATGCTGCGCAGCATGCTGGGGATCAGTCTATGCCTCACGCCGCGGATGTTGCTGCAGCTTGGCAGCGGTGGGCAGACGCCCTCTTTGAAGGTGCAGGGCGTGTTGCACATGATCTTGTTCTACCTGCTTATGCGGCCGAAGTGGCATTGGACCCGAACACGACGTATCTCTACGGAGCTGATGGCGCAGTTTTGGTGGATCCAATGAACAACAAGCCGATCTCGGACGACTGGTGGAACGGCTTCATCGGCTTCCAGTCTGAGTTGATCAAGTCCATTGACGCCAAGCTCCGGGAAGTGGGCTCGTGCCCCAGTCAAAGCTGTCGGAAGCTTTCGTGGAAGGCACCTGAGTGTTCTAAACCCCTGGTAAAGTGGTGGGTGGTGCCGTGGGTGAATAACCCCCGAAAGAATCATGAAGTCATCCAGGTAAACCCAGTACTGTTCTTGGGTTATTTCAAATTTCCCATCTGCGAAAAAGACGCTCAGAGTTTAGAGTCCACTCTTCAGCTGTGAGGTGTAGAGCAGGCCTTCGGCTGGACCATCGCTTTGTACACGGCCATCAAGCTCTTGTTCTTCCCCTTGCAGCAGTCACCGTCGCAGTGGGCAGCCCAGGTTTCTTCGGGATCCCAAACCAAACCTGGCAGCCAAAGCTTCTTCTCTTGGGTTTGCCTGGACCCATGTTTTGCGGTTGGGTTTGCCTAGAGCTCAAGTTGGATTTGCGACACCTTTCAGGCAAATGTCAAGGAGATCTGAAGAGGAATGTCTGCAGTCGCCCGGGGCCAAGCCCCGGAACTTTGGGTGCCCTTTCCATAGGATACCACTCATGTTTTTGGGCCTCTGGATTGGTGGTTTGGATTGCTGGTTTGGGGTCTGAACCCCTGGTTCTTGTGCAGGGTAGATGAGAGACCCCCTCCTTGACCACCAACCACCAATGATGCCCGCCAACCGGCTCAAACACTGTTTCCTGGGTGGGGCCGGGCACAGCTGTGATAAGCTTGCCACATTCCAAGTCTGGCACGGTGCAAAGCAGATCCAGTTCCAGACTTGATTCAGCTGAGTTGATGCCCACAAGACTGGTGTCCATCCGTGCGGGAGAGGGAACCGCATTAACTTTCGGCCCTTGCGAATAGTTTGGAAGTTTGATCGCTTGCGGATTAGCTGTACGGTTTTTGGTTTGTCCCCACGTTTCAGCGTTTCATTGCTTTGACGGCATTTGTTGTACATTTTGGTTTTGATCAGCAACTGAATTCACAGCAAACTAGTTTGTTTTTGGTTACAGCTGTCCAATCCTTTCCCCCCTGTTGTTTATTGATTGAGAACACAACTTGTGCAATTTCGGCTCAGCAGTTGTAGTCTTTTCCAGATGTAAGTTTTGCACCAAGCCATTTATCATGACCAAACTCATGACACAATTTGCATATTTCAGATGCCGCTGGTCGACAGCGGGGTCTTTATGTCAAGCAATGGCAGGGCTTTGGCTCACCGAGTTGAGCCCCGGCCACCTTTCTTGACTATGGCGCGGCCTTGCCCAGCTTTCGGACCAGCCAGAGGTCTGCTGGCCGCACTGGGCCGATGTGTCAAGTCTAGCCTGGTGAGAATGAGATCGGATGTTCCAAGAGCCGGCGCGGAGATGCGGCGGATCTTCCGCGGCGTGGCCTTTCCGGAGACTCTGAGTGGCCGAGAAAAGATCGAATATGCTCTTTGGACCGCCTGGCATCGCATGAAGAATCCAAAACCGCCAGCAAAAGAAGTCAAAGAGTCCTTGGCATTTTATCGTGCTTGCTCCCCGCAATTTACGCACAAGAAGTTTTTGATTGACGCTGCTGGTGGTCATGGGGGCATAGCGCTTGTTTTCCGGGCGTATAACAAAGTTGACCATGCAGTTGTCCTGGATCTGTATGAACCCTCCAGCTTCAAAAACTTACGATCAGCTTGGCTGCCTGAAGATGAGCAAAGTGGCGCCGCAGTGGAATTCAAAAATGGTGATATCAGTGAAGCAGGCTGGCTGCCTTCATTGCTGGAGCGCAAGGGAATCAAGGCCGAAGACGTGATCGTCGTTGCTTGTCACGCTTGCAGTCTGCTATCAGATGAGCTAATCCACGAGTGCATGAAGGCGAAGGTCGAGTTTGCCATCATGCCGTGTTGTCAAGGAGAGGATAGTCGGCGTGGCAAGATGATGCTTCATACAGCCAAGATACTTGGCATTGGACATGACACAATTATTGATATTTCAAGGCTTGGCGTAATTGAACAAACTCCGGGTTACAAAGCCATGATGCGATGCATTGACTCGGCAATCACCCCACAAAATCGCATACTGATTGGCTTGCACGAGAGCGCGAAAGAAGTTGCGCAGAGGAACTCTGCCCGCTCTGTATTCTTGCAAAGAATGACAAAGAAGTACAGCAACATCGTTTGGCGCAAAGGGGATGAAATCGATTGCTGGTGCTTTGCGTCAAGCATTGACATGCTTGTTGCAGTGTATGCGATTGAGGCAGAATCTTCTAGTCCAGCAGCATCTGTTTGGAGAGTTGTGATTCATTGCACGATATATGGATATATGCGGCTCAAGCAAAATAGTAAAAATACCAAGGCCTGGTATGCCTACCCATGATGCATGCTCGCAAGCCGCGGCTAGCTTGCCTGCAAAGGCGGGAACATGCCATCCAATGCAAACCTGAGTTTCGAGCGGATTTGCATGTTCCTTGGTCTCTGTACGTGTGGTGACTTGGCGTCTGCATCAGGCTGGAAAGGCATGTCGGAAGTGGATGCTAAAACAGCGCTTTGGACAGCAGATATGCAAGAATGGCTGCGCATCGTTTTGTTGCTTTCCTTGCCTTCAGCCAAAGATTGGCTTGAGTTCTCAACATATGACACAAGTGGTAGGTGAGGCAACGGGCAACATGTTCAAGGGTAGTGCTTCTAGTGTGCCCTTCTTTGCGTGTCATCCTATTTTAGGGCCTTTGGACTGGTTGTGAAGCGCTGACGCCTTGATTTGCACCATTTGCTATTCTTTGCTCTACGCTCTTGCAAGACCACGTTTTGAGATACCCACGGCGGATATGGGGAGTAGAATTGCAGAAATCCTTGGCTGAGAACATGTTTACATGCTCACATTTTACTGATCTGCTTTTTGGAGTCGATGCGGCTGGTCATTCCCTGTGGCCAGAATGTTGAGGCGCACCCTTGGACCAAGGTGAGCTTAGACCAGGGACGAGAGGAGACCAGTGCCCGGAGCTGAGTGGTGCTTGACACCTGCCAGGTGGGTCTGACATGTGTGACCAGCGTTCAGGGTGTTGGCAGGACCCTCCAGATGATGAGCACGAGCATATGGAACTTCCAAGGGTGTTGCGACCTTGGAGCTTCATACCTTCACTTCCTGCGACCGGCCAGTTCGCCCAGAAGCCCAGGTCTGAGCCCAACGGCCGCCCGGCGGCCCTCTCAGCATGTCGCCAAATGATCGCACGCCACGTGAGCTGCATGCGGTGCAACGCAGCCTTGCAGGCCTCGCGCTCCTGGTCCATGCCCCAGCCTGAGGACCGCAGGCCTAGAAGAAGTGAAACTTAGGCGTTTGCTCGACGCTCTGGAAGGCCTTTTCGTTCAGGCTTGCGCGTAAATGCATCCCAGTGCCCTTGCCCTGGTCTGCTTTGGCCACACTCAGCGCCTAGCAAGAGAGAGAGAGAGAGAGAGAGAGAAAAAAGAAGGAAACACAACGAAAGAGGACAGGCGAGAAAAGTAAGCAAGACAAGGAGACCACGGCATGCAACATGCTGGCAGCTGAGCTCTAGAACGACTTCAAATTTTGACTCACTTGCCCAATTGGAGCCAGACCTGTGGGTAAAAACTCGAGCCCGTGGTTCCAGGTTTCGCTTGGACGTGACTTGGGCCCAGTCAAGGTGTTGATCTGTGACCCTTCGGCTTCCGCTAGGCCAGCTGCAGCGGCAAGGGCCCTTTCTGCGTGCTGCCCTGAGCGCCGTGCAACGAGCCGCCGGCGCGCGCGCGCGAGAAGCGCGCGCCTTGAGCGCCGCGCCGCGTTCCGAGGCAAACGAGGCCTGCGCCAAGGCGGATGCAGGCGAAGCGACGGAGCGACAGCGGAGTTTCCAGTTGGGAGACCGCTTTTGGACAGTGTTTCAGGAGAAACCCAAAAAGGAGCCCCTGGTTGAGACAACACCCAGATCTTGCTTCTGTGATTCTCCGAGGTTTGAACAGCGCCGCTTTCACAGCAGTGATTTGATCCACGGCTTTCTTGCGACGGCTGAGTCCAAGGTTCCACTTCCGTCTGTGGCTTTGGAAGGTCGGCGTTGAGTTTCGAGGCTTGCGAGAGGGCCGATCAGCCGGTCAGGACCTGCAGACCTGCCGAAGTCTGAGCCCATTGCGCTGACCTCGGGCGCATGCTCAACCGCCTCAGCCATCCAAAACGTAAGGGGGCAATCGACAGTGTTCCGTCCAGAAAAGGCGAGGACATCCGCCCTTTTGATTCTTTATCTAGCTTTGGGTGGATCTCTTCAGTGCCAGGTTTTGACAATGTCGCCACGTCAAGAATGGGCCTGGCTGAGGCAATGCTGCCGATTAAGCAGACGAGGCCACGGCGGTGCTGCGACTCGTGCGACCTGTAGCAGAGGGGTCCTGAGGTGTTCCCTCAAGTCTGACAAGTCCGACAAGTCCGACAAGTCGGATAAGTCGGTCGCCAGAAGCAAGGTGCGCTTACAAAGTCAATGTGCCGCTTGAACGCCATGCACCAGTATTTTTGCTGGGCAAGATGCGATTGCTTGCGTACTGCGAGCTGGCTCAATGTGACAAAACAGCATGTGACGCATGTGGTTTGTTTGTCAGTTTACAGTTTGCAGCCAACAGCTTGCTTGATATTTGAGCTTCCCATGCAAGCCAACATTTTCTGAAGCAAACAAACTCAGATTTTGTTGGAGGATCCGCACCATGAAGCCAAGACTTCCATGGCTGGGCTTGCTTCTGCTTGGCTGGGCTGTGGATTTCGTTTCGAAGGCTCCAGGCGAGACCAGGAGACTTGGCCGAGCCAAGTCGGCGAATCCGGACAAGGCAGAGCTGCTTCCTCCGGAGGTGCCAGCAGAGACGCGCTGGGATCTCTGGCCCGCACTGCCAGTGGCGCCCTATGAGCGCCGGAAGACCATTCTGCAGGAGAGCATCCCCGGCGAGTTGTGGGGCCTTGAGCAGAAGATTGGCTTGCTCTATGTGCATGTGCCGATTCGTATGACAGTGCTGAGGCTCAAAGATGGTCTCTTGCTCTATGGGGCTGTGGCGCCCACGGGCGAATGCCTGTCTTTGTTGCGGGGCCTGGAAGCCAAGTACGGCCCGGTGCGCTTTCTGATCTTACCTACAGTGGCCGTAGAGCACAAGACCTTCGCGGGGCCTCTTGCTCGGCAGCTGCCGACTGCTGAGGTTTGGTATGCGCCTGGCCAGTACTCGGTCCCCGTGCCTCTGCCCCTGGCGTTCTTGGGCTTCCCCCTGGATCGCCTGCGGGAGCTTCCGAGGGACAGCAACGATGCGGCGCTGCCATGGGGGGATGAGCTCGAGCACAAGGTCCTCAGCTTAGCCTGGTGTACATGCAAGAGAAGCATATTGGTTCTTCATTTTTTCTCCACCCAGCCTGAGGTGCTTGGCCCCATCGGCAAGGATCCAGCCACCGGTGCCTTCTGCGAGGCAGCGTTTTACGTGCCCCGACTTCGGCTGCTGCTTCTGACCGACCTCCTCATCTCCATCCCCAGCTCACCACCTGCCATTCTGCTGGAGGATCCGCGGCCCCTGCTCTTCCATGCCAGAGATGGCCCCCTGGAGCCTTTGGAGTCAGACGTCTTTGCTCTTCAGCGCGGGTGGCAGCGCATTGTGACCCTCTGAGCATTTTTTTTCTTCAGGAAGTCAAGGTGCTTTTCTCGAGCCGTTTGGCAACCACAAGGGTGCGCGGTTGAATTGCCGGCAACCGACCTTTAGTGGGGCCTGCAGGCAAAATTATTGATGGGAATTTGATTGACTACATTAGATAGTTTCTCAGCTGATTCTCCGAACGCGGCATCCTGACCTTGCCCTAGTCCAGTTCTTTCTTTCGATTTGACATGTTTCTTGTGAGGATTCTCTTCCAACCCTGAGTCTTGAGTTTTCTCATCATGAGCATCTTCTTCGAATCGTGGATCTTAGGTGACTTGGTCATCCAAATACTTTTCGATTCCTGGGTCTTGAGTTTTCCTCATCAAGTATTTCACTGCTGATTCCTCTTTGTCTGGCTCTTGAGTTGTTTGTCATCTAATAAGTCAATCATGCTAGTTCTAAAGGCTGAGTCCGAATTATGTGTCGGTTCAGATTTCCCTTATCGAGTATTTTATTTTCATGCGCATTTCAAGGATGCTGTCACATCCTAACCCTTTGCTACCGCGCTGTTTCTCAAAGTCACTTGTTCTCTTGATGTTTCTCTGCATCCCGCAACCTGCAACAAGCTTGTGCAAGTTTTCTCTGAGTCCGTCGCAAGCTGCCTCTCTTACTCGAATGCTCATTCTGAAGGTGTTGTTCTTACAGTTGCTTATTCTCCACATCGGGCTTTGTCTCCAAATGTCCTATCCTGGGGCTTCTTCTCTTCAAGGTTCTCTCTGAATTCTCCTCTGAGTTCTGGGTCTCAGATTCTTTCGCCGAATTGCTCATGTAGTAGCATTGTTTGCAAATCAAGGGTCATGGCCACGGGTACAGCAAATGTTTTTGATGAACTTCCGGAATTTGTGTGTTTACTTTGTACAGGGCTGACCCCATGTTTAAAAGTGTTGCTTTCATTAACATCCTGAAGTTTTAGAATGGTTCTTCACATGACAGTTGTCATTGTCATTCATGTCCAAAGGCGAGAGCTGAGGATCTTTTCCCTGTTCTTCCAATCCGGCGCCATCGAGGTGCAGGGCGTCTCGGAGGCCTTCCGGGACGCGGGGAAGAGCCAGGCGCCGGAGCTGGGCTGGGGCGGGCTGCTGCCCTGGAACTACAAAACCGATTGGCGGGAGGCTTTTCGGGCGGTGAGCGGAGGTGTGCTGGTGCCCCCCATCTTGCAGGTTGGGTTCCGAAATTGGGGGGGGGTTGGGGGGTTTGGAGCAGTGGAGCTTTGGGTCGGGGGAAATGGGAAGTGGCAGCGGGTGCAAAACATTGCAACCGCGCCGAGCGGGTGAGATCATTCTTCCGCTTCTTGCGCGCCGGACCGAGGCGCTGGTGCTGAATCGGGGGGCCCGCGACACGGCCGCGCTGCGGAGCTTTGTGCAGGCGGTGAGCCGGTGGCCCTTCGAGCGCATGCAGTCGCTCCACTTCGACGGTCTCACGGCCTGCAGGGCCGGGGACTGGACCAGCGCCTTCCGCCGATTTCTGGATGAGCCCAGCTTGCCCTTTGGCGCCTGGGGGCCCAAGCCTCGGGATGTGGACACAGGGCTCGCAGAGGCAAAGTTTAAGAAGTTTTGCTGCGGGTCTGCCGTTTTTGTTGGAGTCAAAACACCGATGTCCCACAGATCGCACTGTGGGCATGCTCAGGATTTAGAGTTTCTGCGCGGCTTCGGCCGCCAACTTCAGAGCAGTGGCATCATTGACCCGCTGCAGAGCAAGCGGCAAAGCATCCTGTGATTGTGGTATTGCTGTTTCCCTTAGCAAAAGCCCTCGAACGCGCGTGGCCTGAGTCTGCCAAGCATGACAGACTCGGGAATAGTCAGGGATTGCACCCTGCCCACCTCTGGGGATGGCTGGCTTGGCTGTTTGCATCTGAAGCTCGATGGAGCTTGCGTCTGGCGGAGCACACGCGACTTGCGCCGAGAAAAGCCACGCTGACTTCCCGCAAGGTTGGGGAGGAGAAGCCTGCCAGCCAGGCCAGGTACTGTGGGCCAAGGATGTGGGGCACGCTAGCTGGCGTGGGAAAGTGGAGAAGGCCAACATTCATATCAAGCAGCACGCTTTGATGAATTGATCCCCTAATTCGTTTGGCAATCGTTTGCATGACGATAAAACAAAAGCAGTTACACGGTCTTTTTTTTTTTAGGCGCCAAATTACATTGACGCTGATCGCGCATGGTTTGCCAGGTGCCAGCGCGGCCCAAGGCGCACGCTCGCAAAACACGCTCAAGTTCCCCTGTCTCAATGGAATAACTGTGCACAGCTGGCAACCACAAGGCAGACTCTCCGACCAATCAGCGAACACTGAAGTTCTATCCGCTCGGAACTCGGTCGGTGAGTGCTGTGGGTGCCCAGCATTGATGGACTTTGTTTGCAGAGGATGGTGAGGGTTGATGTTCTGTCGGGACGGCACGCAACCTGTGGCCCAGGCAGCCTTCCGATGACCGCTCAGCCACATCTGTGCAGCCAGCAAACTTCACAACATTCGACAGCTGCCTTTTTGTGTACTTTTCAATGTGCTGCAAACATGACCTGACAGGTGGATGTCATCGAGCACGGATATGAGGCGCAGGGAGTGATATGTCTTTGAGCAATTTGTCAAAGGATGTCCCAATTTGATTCTTTTAAGCGGTCGCTGCATGGTGGAAGTTTGGGGGTTGCTCTTCAGAGGTTTCAGGCAGGGCCAGGTGAAGCGTGAATGCAGGTACTCATCGTGCGCAGAGATCCATCTCCAACACCCAAGTGGCTCGCTCTGAGTTTACTGGTCAAGCGGCCATGTTGCATGTGTGTAAGTCAGATGAAAGCTGTTATTCAAAACAAGCACAAGTCTTACTTGGAACACCTGGGAGTTTTGGTGCAGCTCATCTTTGACTGCAGAGAAGGGCCTTTTGAAACGGAAAACCTTAATAAGAATACATACGCAATCATGTTCTGATCAGTTTTGAGCCAGCGGCTGGCCAAGGTGTCCTGCAGACATGCTGGGACCAGAGGTGGACAATGCTCCAGGAGTCGACATGATGGAGCAATCTGGAAGTTTTTTGACTGGACATTGTTTGCGCCTTTTCTTTTTGACAGGGGAAGCCGGAAAGTTTGATTCCACTTCGACAGGAGAGCTCCTGATCGAGGTGGAGGACGCGCTGTCCCGCATTGCAAGTGCAAGTGCGAACCTGAGGTTGTCCTTCGTTCCATGAAAACGTTGCCCGGAAAAAAATGGTTGGCCGCCGATGAGAGTGGTGTGGTAGACCTCAAAACTGCCAGGCGGAGACGGTGATGTGACCATGCCATTCAGGAAGGACGCCTGTCTGCACCCTGAGAGGTTTTGTCGAACTTTGCTGAAAATGGAGTTGACACACCAGAACTACGTGACATTTGGATCCTTGTCACTTTGCATTGTAGGATTGTCCTGGAAGCAGGTGAAACACAGAACACATCTTAGACTTGCTGCCCAGTACATCACTCCTTCCAGTCTCCGTGAAAGGCCACTGACAAGGTTGTGCATTTTCCTTGAGATGTGACTGACTGCCGGCTTGCCACATGCATATTTGCCGCATGGAGCGTATCTCAGGATTCTCCAGTGTCTGATGCATCTTTGTAGCTATTGCTTTGCTGCAAGCGCCAGTTGTCACACTGGCGTTTGCTTCGGCAATGCAGAAGAGTCTTCTTTTAAATAGTTTGATGGGGTCATACGCGGGGCTGGCAGGGATAATGCTGAGCACCTTTTGACGATCTCACTTCGTTTCACCCGGTTGGCATTAGTAGATTCTCTCCACAGAGAAGTGAAACCATCTCAGCCCCCTGGAAAGTTGGTTGAGAGACCAGAGATGTCACCCAAGCCAAGCGTTGCCTTGGTTTTGTCGATCCTTTACAAGGGCATGCAAATGCATGCCTTTCTCGAGAGCTAATGAAAAAGTCTGGAAACGCAATGCCCTCGCTCTGCATGGTGTTGGTATGGCCTGAGCTTGATTTGCGCAGTCTGACGACGCATGAATAGACCGGCAGCCCAACATATGTAATCTTGCAAGATGTAAATCAAGAGTCGTACTGTAGTCCGGCATCATTGGCGAGTTTTGATTGTTCCGCGGCCATTGGTCAGGGCCTTACCTGACAGTGACAGCCGTGCAAAACCTGGACCTACATGGAATGTTCATGTCTCATGAGTTCGTGCCGACGGCCGCGCTGTGCAGTAGTTATCAATTATATATTAGGATGATTGCACAGTACAAGTATTTTCGGCATCTTCCTTTTCATGTAGCCTTGTGTTTGCTGTGCCTGTCATCATGTTTGCTTTGCACGAGGCTGGTTTGTCAACCCTCTCCTGGCTTGGGCATATTCCGAATGTAGGATAAATTCTTAAGAGGGTTGGCACAGAATCAGGCATGGAGGCATTCTTGAACAATATAGGAGTTCTCCTTATGAGTGGCAACTCCTAGGGACGGCACGCCCATTTTGTATTTAGATCCCAAGATGTGCACATCTTAGGCCCAGCCGGGTCAGGGCACAACGGTACAATAGCCATGGCTGGCGGCTTAGTAGAGATGGACTGTGTCTTGGTCGGGGCTGGTGGACATACATCCCAATGTAAACGATGTCCACGGGTCCAGTCAATGTCACCATTTGTCACTTGATGAGTTTTGGCTAGCCTTGGTACAAGCTGCAGAACGTCTCCTGCTTGTCATATGCGGTAGAATTGATGGCTGTGTGTGTTGTGGCAGCAGAAATTGAGGATCCTTTTGAGTTGATTAGCCTCCGGCCTGAGCTAAGCCATGTTAGCGCAGGCGCAGTCCAAGACAGGAGTTGTGGTGAAGAACACGTTTCTGGAGGTCCGAGCCTCGCGCGGGTTTGTTGCAGATTGACGTTTCAGCATGCCTGGTTCGGGGCACGAACAGGTTGGAGACCACATGCCGCCAATTTCCGATTGGCCTTGCCCCCAGCCTGGGCTCTGCAGCTCGTTCAAGAGATTTTGGAATGGTCAGGCGCAGACAAATGTCCGAGCCAGTCCCGCTCTTGGAGTTTTGTAGCATGCAGCTGCCAACTTCCCCAAACCGAAATGGCTGTGGTTGTCAAAACCAATGGGATCCCATTTTGGGGTAGGTGCACCGCCCATTTTAGTTGATTTTGGTGGGGATTGGGATGTTCACTGGGGGTACGGGATTTTGACCCATGGCCAAATACCAACACTGCCTGCAGGTGAAAATCTACACTAGCCAAGTGGACGACTTTGAGGACCAAATCGGCGATCTTGCGTGCCTCCAGTTTCACTTGCTACCTTACGAAAAACCAGAGGCTGTAATCCACATGTTCATGTATTGTTGCAGCGGGCCGCTGCAAGAACTGCTTATACCAGGAGTAGCCACAGAATCGTTCAACTGCACGCGCTAGCAAAGACTGCATATGCATAGTATCTCTCTCGCTATATGTATGTAATGTAATGTAGTGTAATGCAATGTAATGTAATGTGATGTGATGTGATGTAATGTGGTGTAATGTGATGTAATGTAATGAAATGTAATGTATGCATGTAATGCAATGGAATGCAGTGCAATGCAATGCAATGGAATGCAATGCAATTACATGTCATGGATTTTCATGTAATGGATGTAACGTATGTAATATATGTACATGCCGGTATGTAATGTAAATATATATATATATATTGTATGTAATATATGTAATGTATGTAATGTAAGTAAGGTAAAGAAACGTAATGGAATGCAATGCAATGTAATGTAATGCACGTATGTAATGCATGTCACGTTACGTTACGTTTTGTTGCGTCATGTTCCATTAGGTTAGCATATGTTATGTCATGTTACGTTCTGTTATGTTGTGCTATGTTGTGTATGTTATGTATGTTATGTATGTTTGTAATACATGTTATGTACGTTTATCATGATACGTATGTTATGTACGTTATGCACTGCAATGCGTGTAATGCATGTAATGCATGTAGCGCATGTAATGCATGTAATGTGAGTATTGTATGCCATCCATGTAATGTATGTAATGTATGCAATGTACGCAATGTACTGTAATGTATGTATGTACGTTTGTATTGATTGAATGTAATGTATGTGATGTGTGTAATGTATGTAACGAATGTAATGTACGTAAATGTACGAACATGTATGCAATATATGTAATGTCAGTAATGTATGTCATGTATCCAATGTATGCAATGTATGGAACTATTTAATGTATGTAATGTAAGTGATGCAAGGTATGTAAGGTATGTATGTATGTAATGTATGTAATGTATGTAATGTATGTAATGTATGTAATGTATGTAATGTATGTAATGTAATGTATGTATGTATGTATGTATGTATGTATGTATGGAGGGATGGATGGATGGATGGATGTATGTATGTATGTATGTAATGTATGTAATGTATGTATGTGTGTATGTATGTATGTTATGTTATGTAATGTAATGTAATGTAATGTAATGTAATGTAATGTAATGTAATGTAATGTAATGTAATGTAATGTAATGTAATGTAATGTAATGTAATGTAATGTAATGTAATGTAATGTAATGTAATGTAATGTAATGTAATGTAATGTAATGTAATGTAATGTAATGTAATGTAATGTAATGTAATGTATGTATGTATGTATGTATGTGTATGTATGTATGTATGTATGTATGTATGTGTATGTATGTATGTATGTATGTATGTAAGTAAGTATATGTATGTATGTATGTATGTATGTATGTATGTATGTAATGTATGTATGTATGTATGTATGTATGTATGTATGTATGTATGTATGTATGGTATGTATGTATGTATGTAATGTATGTAATGTAATGTATGTAATGTATGTATGTATGTATGTATGTATGTATGTATGTATGTATGTATGTATGTATGTATGTATGTATGTATGTATGTATGTATGTATGTATGTATGTATGTATGTATGTATGTATGTATGTATGTATGTATGTATGTATGTATGTATGTATGTATGTATGTATGTATGTATGTATGTATGTATGTATGTATGTATGTAATGTAATGTATGTATGTATGTAATGTATGTAATGTAATGTAATGTAATGTATGTATGTATGTATGTATGTATGTATGTATGTATGTATGTATGTATGTATGTATGTATGTATGTATGTATGTATGTATGTATGTATGTATGTATGTATGTATGTATGTATGTATGTATGTATGTATGTATGTATGTATGTATGTATGTATGTATGTATGTATGTATGTATGTATGTATGTATGTATGTATGTATGTATGTATGTATGTATGTATGTATGTATGTATGTATGTATGTATGTATGTATGTATGTATGTATGTATGTATGTATGTATGTATGTATGTATGTATGTATGTATGTATGTATGTATGTATGTATGTATGTATGTATGTATGTATGTATGTATGTATGTATGTATGTATGTATGTATGTATGTATGTATGTATGTATGTATGTATGTATGTATGTATGTATGTATGTGTATGTATGTATGTATGTATGTATGTATGTATGTATGTATGTATGTATGTATGTATGTATGTATGTATGTATGTATGTATGTATGTATGTATGTATGTATGTGTATGTATGTATGTATGTATGTATGTATGTATGTATGTATGTATGTATGTATGTATGTATGTATGTATGTATGTATGTATGTATGTATGTATGTATGTATGTATGTATGTATGTATGTATGTATGTATGTATGTAATGTAATGTAATGTAATGTATGTATGTATGTATGTATGTATGTATGTATGTATGTATGTATGTATGTATGTATGTATGTATGTATGTATGTATGTATGTATGTATGTATGTATGTATGTATGTATGTATGTATGTATGTATGTATGTATGTATGTATGTATGTATGTATGTATGTATGTATGTATGTATGTATGTATGTATGTAATGTATGTATGTATGTATGTATGTATGTATGTATGTATGTATGTATGTATGTATGTATGTATGTATGTATGTATGTATGTATGTATGTATGTATGTATGTATGTATGTATGTATGTATGTATGTATGTATGTATGTATGTATGTATGTATGTATGTATGTATGTATGTATGTATGTATGTATGTATGTATGTATGTATGTATGTATGTATGTATGTATGTATGTATGTATGTATGTATGTATGTAATGTACAATGCAATGCAATGCAATGCAATGTATGTATGTGTGTACGTGCGTGCGTGCGTGCGTGCGTACGTACGTATGTATGTAATGCAATGTAATGTAATGTAATGTAATGTAATGTAATGTAATGTAATGTAATGTCATGTAGTGTAAGGTAATGCAATGTATGTATGTATGTATGTATGTATGTATGTATGTATGTATGTATGTATGTATGTATGTATGTATGTATGTATGTATGTATGTATGTATGTATGTATGTGTACGTATGTATGTATGTATGTATGTATGTATGTAATGTATGTATGTATGTATGTATGTATGTATGTATGTATGTATGTATGTATGTATGTATGTATGTATGTATGTATGTATGTATGTATGTATGTATGTATGTATGTATGTATGTATGTATGTATGTATGTATGTATGTATGTATGTATGTATGTATGTATGTATGTATGTATAAAACTATGGTAATGCAACACAATGCACCGCAACATAAGGAGATGGAATGCAATTCAATGTAATGTAACACAATGCATGTGATGTATTGAATTTTGTATGTATGTAGGTAGGTATGCATGTATGCAGGCATGCATGTACCTTACAAGAAGGAGATGCCAGACCAAAGGGATGAGCTGCTCAAAGGGATGAGCTGTTTGGCTTCGGAGGATGACTTCGCGGAAGAGGCACAGGCCGGGAGTCCCAAGTCCGAAGGCCATTGGCACCGGGAGCTGCGGAAGGCCAGCTCGAAGGCGCAGCCATGTGGAGACAAGCCATGTAAATTTTGGTGCCAAGGGTAAGGCTGGATTCGGGCAAGCGCTTTTGGTCGTGACAGACTTCTGCCTGAACCCGTGTCGGGTCGGCACTTGCACCTATCAGTCGTGCCAGACTTCAATGAAAATGCTTGAATGCCTAGTGTCCTCCTGCCAATGCCGAAAGTTGCTGTGGCACTATCTAGCTGTTTGACCGCAAGCGACCTTTGATCCATTTGATATCCCTCAGATGGCTTACGCAGTGGTTGAGGCACTTTGTCCATCATTCTCGGCTTTTCCGGCCGCTTGCTTGTTGGCAAACTGCCTACTGAAGTGAGCAAGAAATCAGGGGTCCCACATACAAAAGTTTAAGCTCCGGTCTAAAAGACACCTGGCCATGGGTCTTAACCTATGCCTCCATTTTGGGGCGAATCAACACCCATGTACCACCTATTTTGATGTTCACCAGGGGTTCCCTGGGTTTTGCCCCACAGCTACCTCTCTCCAATCTGGGAAGAGAAACCTTGCCTTCCAAACCCGATCGATCAGCGCGTGCAGGCTCCGGAGATGCCGCCCTTGCCGTTTTCTTTGGCGCCGCCTGCTGGGTCGACACATGTGTCCGGAACGTCCAGAACCCTGAGCCATTTGTAGGCTCTTCTCGCTGGTGCATGGGACTTGTAGTAAGGTTTTTACAAGTCTCTACCAATGGGTTGCGGCCGCTCAGTTGGGCAATCATTGTTGGATGAAGTTCAGAAACGTAGGTTGGCCATGGGGGGTTCAACTGCCGCATGTCCATAGTATGGCTATATGTTCTTTCAATGGGGAGCCACTCAAAGCTGGTTGGTTGACAAACAACACCCGTGTAAATGATGTCCAACACGGTGCCCCGTCAATTATGGAAGTCATACCCAAACAATACCCGTACTGTATTTCTTTAGAAGAAATGGCACATTTTGGCTGTCTTGGAGTGTGTGCCAAAATTCGGGCGCTGTTGGCCCTGGCTCACCCAGGCCTGGACAGATTCCTATGGCCGCTGCGCCTGTCCCCACCCTTGAGGCAAGTGCGACATGCTTTCGTGGACAAGATCGGCAAGATGAGCAATTGGTCTTAGTTTTGGTTCTGGCTTTTGGCTTTTGATTCTTTTGGCTGGGGCAAGATGCAAGTGACCAAGCACATTTGTTCCAGGCGTGGAAGCTTTTTCCGTTTTCTCCGGGTGGGTCCAGGTGAGAGAGGGGATCTGGCTCGGGGGCTGAAGATTCCCGCGGCCTGGGGACTGGTTCATGGCCCTCTTGGGAAGCAGGTCGCCCTGTCTGTCGCTATGGTGCAGGCACAGCCGTACGGACTGCGGCAGGCAGGGCTACGGAGAGATGGTCGGGGAAGAGGAACATGAAAGCCGTTGGAGGGATGCCAGGCCATGATGGAAAGCGGGTTTTCGGGAATTGTGCAGCACCAAGCGAGTCCCCTTTGATGTGTCAAAGTGGCCATAGGGGGATGGGAGCTGTATTTTGGTCTAATAGCAGTCGGTCCAAAATCTTGGGTTGACCAAAAACCGAGCTGGCGGTTTCCCTGGCCGTTTTGGCCCGAAAGGCTGGCCTTGTTCGCTTGCAGGGCGGCCGAGAGCAGGGCAGGCGAGAGCTTCGGAGTGGCAGCGCCGAGCACTTGGCGCAGTCGGCGTTTGGTCTGCAGATTCTCAGATTCTCAGGGGGACCCCTTCAAGATCGGGGTTGCACTTTTGGGTGTATTTGGCAAACCCCAAGAAGGGAACTCGACATGCACCAGTTTGAATCTTGGGTTTCAAAAGCGGGCCCGAATGTACAACGCCACTCCTAGTTTTGAGGATCCCCAAAAGGGGAGCGAAAGAAGCCGAGGCATATGGAAGTAACGAATCTAAAGATTAGTAAGCTCGTTTTGCGATGCGCCCGGAGTGGTGTGGACCTGAGTTTGATGGCTGGCACGATTTGGCATACCCCAGGGCATCAACTCGCTGAAAAACAACGACATCACGAGCAAGGACTCGTGTTTGGCAGAGGCGTACAATGCAAGGAGTAGCATCCAAAGAACTGCAGGAGCCGCCTTGGAACGATGTGACCACTGTCATGATGCGGAACCTGCCGAACAAGTGCGCACCAGGTGTGAGGTCACGGCGTTCACCTGAAGCCATGACAATTGAGGACGTCACTCTGGCCAGGTATCGGCAGCAAATGCTGCTGGACGAGCTGGCAGATGCAGGGTTTCGAGCCCAGGTGCCAAGCCAGTGTTATGTCGGTGGAGTTGCCCATTCTTGTTGGTGCCTTGCCTGATTGCCTGCACGCCAGTCTGATTTCGACTTTTTTTACCTTCCGATGGACCACAGCAACTCGGCTTAGTGGATGGTGTGCCGCGCATTCCGACCCACTTTCCACGTTTTTAGTTCCCTGTGCACCAGGCAACGCTGCGAACCTCGGATACTGCTCGCGGCTCAGTCCGGCGGCTTGTTTGCCAGCGAGGGCTTTGAAAGCGCCCAGGTTTCATTAATTTCACTGAGCCGGCCTTGGCCAACTCCTTCGCAGCTGCCTTCCAGGGCCGCGGGCTCGGTCAAGCCGGGAAAAGGTCGAATTTAGACCATTGTAACGGCTCCCGGGAATCTGGGCCAAGAGGAATGAGGGAATGACCCCTATGAACCATGCCCTATGGTTTCCTTTAGGGGGGGGGTCATTGCCTGCTGAGCACCAGCAAGTTTTGCCGGCCGCGTGTCCATGAGGCAAGAAGATGCGCCGCTTTAACTCGCATAAGACTGTGGTTGCCGCAGCCTCGATGGTCAACCTGGTGGGTTTTCGAAGCCTTCAAATCGGCAGTTTCCTTCGGGTTCGCTTGTAAGCAGCCCGGCCAATGGGCACCCTCACAGAATATCCGGTTTTGTTTTGTCCAAGTCCAATCCTTGGAATTCGAACTCAAGGGACCAGCCAGAAGCCAGGGGAGAAGGAACACCCGTTCCTTGCCCACTAGACATATTTTAACCGTGACTCAGTCACATTCTTTGACATTCCACTCTGCAAGACTTCAGGTAATGCCTGCATCAATCCAGGGATACGAGAGGAACTACAAGTGCGCCCATTCGGAGCTGTTCTGATTCCAGTCGTAGGAAGTGCATTCGGGATTCCGGGAGGTACTACTCCTCAACCAGAGTGGCTCAGGCAGAGGAGAGACTTGTTCAGATGACTCACTGAGCATTGCGCATGCCCGGCAATAGTGATGATGTTAACCGGATTAATAAATCCCTGGTTGATTGATAGGGGGGTGTCCCCTTTTAGTGGGGATTCATCACTTTTGGAGGGACCCCCCCCTAATAATGGGACGGGCTTATCAATCCTGGGTCAACATTACCATGAGGGGTATGAAGCAAATGCGATATCCTGATGCGATGCTTGCGCAGAATACTTTTTTCATTCCGGTTCACCAGAATGCTCATGAAGCCTTGACAAGCAGTTAGGCAACTTTTTTCTTTGGGTCCGAAGAAATGTGGCCGGGTCCAGTGCCAGGACCCAGCCTATCGGCCCCTATTTCTGAGACATGATCTAGAGGCTTCGGCGCAGGACTTGGTCAGAGTGTGGCAGCGCCGTGTCAACTTGAAACGTTGCAGCTGTTCTAAGTTGACGCTTATTCGAAGCCTTGCCCTCACCAGCCCGAAACACCAGCATAAGCAAGGCTGGTGCCTAAGCTAGAAGGCTCGACATGGTTTGGATGGGACGGACATCCATGGCTCGCCGGTGCCTGCCCTTTGCCCGCCCAAACCCAGTCCGAAACCCTGAACCTCCTGAACCCAGCCTAAACGAACCCTTGGCCTGAACCAACGCAAAGCCCCCCCCTACACTCAGGCTGAACCAAGCCTGACATGCACCCTTAACCCACCTTGCGCCAACTCTACACTCACCGAAAGCAGGCGCAAGCTTTCAGGTCAGGAAGCTGTGTGATTGCTGGATGGCCTGCTTGATTTACTCGGGCTGCTCGGGCTGCCTAAGGTCGGATTGCTGATTCTGCAAGTCTGTTGGACATGGAGTTGATGCTCATGTTGGTCTGAGCTCTCTTTGTCTTTGTACCCTTTGTGGGGGCTTTAGGGCACTTAATGGAAATTGGAAGTTCATGTGACTCGGCGTGCCTGCTGTCGATGCCGTTTTGCAGGACAGGAAAGGCTCTGGACGAGGCACAGGGATGCAGCGCTGCAGCTGCATGACGGCACGACACGAGCTGCAGGTAAAGGAGCAGAGAAAGGAGGCAAAGGCGGAAAGAAAGGCTCCAAGGACAAGGCCGCGACCAGATTCAGCGAGCCATGCAGTGAATCACCCTGGCAGGGAAGCAAAGGTTCTGATGGCAAAGGAGTGGAGGCTCATCGGACGCATTGATTGGATGCTAAAACCTTGTGGGCCCAGCCGCCCCAGCCTGCATCAGCTGAGGCCTTCTCCCAATTGGCCTTCATGGGCCTGGAATCGGGTCCACAGGTGCCTGCGCGCCGCGCATTTTTTGTTGCGGGCATTTTGTTTTCAGCCCGGATTCCACCGCTTGGTCCATGGACCGACTGGCTCCTTGCCACATATGTAAGTCGCAAGCGTGCAGGGCGACTGGACTATGGCTGGGGATCAAATGCCTTGGCAGCAAGTGCAAGCTCCTGTCATGTGGATGCCTCAGGCTCTGCTCTGCATTCAGCCTTTTGCCCACTATCACAGGGCTCCCCATCAAACAAAATAGGGGCCATTACCCAGGAAGGCCCGGTGAAACTCGTGATGTCACATCAAGCCCTTTCCAAAAGATGCTATATTTTGTATTTGGGATGCGTAGTCAGGCGTGGGGTTGGCCGTCATTTTATCCACTCGCTTTTGTACGGCCTGAGCACATCAGACAACAGATTGTTCTATACAATCAATATCTACTGTTGTGTTGTGCTGTACCGTTGACACGTATCACCTTGCACTAAACAAAGACGAAGCAATGTTAAAGATGAGCCATTATGTGCTATTATGCTACAGTATGCGTGAGACGGGGGAGCATACAGCTTCTGCTTTTCAGCGCCGTCGATGCCACAGCGCGCTTGAGGCAAGCGCCGTTCCAGGCCCAGGGCGGCAAGAGCGGGAACTCTGTCACCTGCTCCTTGGCCTGGAACAGGTGGCCCTGGTAAAGAGGTCGTGAAAAACAAAAAAGTCGTCTCATCCAAAGAGGGGATGCTGGAGGTGTCATTCATGCATCGTGAAGAAATCTTGAGCTGACAAGGCATGAACTGTGGCAACATGTGCAACAGTGAGCACAGGCGCGTTCTGTTCCTGGTATTGCCCTTTGGAAAAGGGCTCTCAGAAAAGGGTCACCATTTCATCCAACTCTCTCGGCTTGTGCCAGGTTCTGCTCCGGCTGCGGTAATCCAGTTGGGTCCCCAGAGATGGCAGAAAGGGGAGCTCATGAAGTGTGTGAAAGTGGGAGGTGCAGAAGAGCCCAGGCTGGGTGCTGCAAATTGGCTTTCAAGAGACATCCCCAAACCGATAGCGCTAGGTTTGATACGTCCCGAGATGAAAGCACACTCCTCGGTTCATTGGCCAGGTGGTGCTACTGCTGGTGGCAACACAGGCCCCAAGGGTGGCTCCTGCGGAGGAGATGCTGGGCTTATTCGTGAGACACATCTAGAGGTTGAAGTGATAGCGCAGCGGTAGCGCACCGTGTAGGTACTAGTTGGGAAAATGGTCTTGCCATTTTGGCTCGCGTTTTGCCCACTCACCTGGCAAGGTTTCATCGAAACGTGCTTTGTAGCTTCCTGCCTCAACCCTCTCGTCAGTCGAGCTCCGCCCCGGGTTTGGACTCCCTGCTGTTTGACTTTGACCTGTTGGAGGAGCCTCCCCACGCCTGATGATGGTGCTTCCTCCTCTGAAATCCACGCATCGCAGGCTGACTCCCCTTAGGCTTTCAGGGATGGGGGGGCCCTGCTCTGCCGAACGCTCGCAGTAGGGCAACCTTTCTTCTCGGGTTCTTTGAGAAGCCATTCGCCGCGGCGATTTTGATGAAGCTTGCCCTTTTCCTACACCGGCTTGGGTGTTCCTTGGCCGGCCAATTACGTCCTGCGGTTCGTATGAACTGACGCATCCTGTGTTTTCGGAGCTTCACAATCCCCACCCCCTGAGCGGGGTTTCTTTCGACCTGATGACTCCCCCAAACTGCCGTGACCGGATCCCGTGGAGGGTTTGCGTTTCCAATCTGTCTTGAAGAAGGGGCGTGAACAGGCCCGCGGTGTTCTTGCACCAAACGTAGCAGAGAAAGAAACGTTTGCTGATTCGGACACTTTGATACCAAGCTTGCGTACGCGTCGGCGTTTGTGACTAATAGAGTTGCGCATCGTGACGCTGGAGCGACTTGCGTGCTTGTTGTACTCTGTCGAGCTTCGCCGAGATGAATGGTTTCGGTGTTGTCAAAGATTGCGTGCCTCAGAGCCTGTCTCAAAGTTTGAAGCTTTGGCACCGCTGTCAGACTGCGCACACCCCGTGAAAAGCCCAGCGCTGCACTGCAGGACAACCCATGAACGGCATGGTCATGGGATGTGGACCCATCTGGGGCTGTGGCGGCTGCTGCGGGGGCTGCGGCTGCTGTGGAGGTTGCTGTGGCTGCGGGCCTTGTGGCGCCCAGGGCTGCGCGGCTTTAAGCGCTCAACTCAGCCGTTTAAGATCCAGCGAAGGACAGAAGCTGATAGTTTGAGGTTATGGCTGATTTGGGCCACCCAAACTGAACTGCTGATTTGATACATTGACCGGCGCTCAAATGGAAGCAGAGAGACTCCTCCCACGCTTCAGGTGCAATGAACATGCGGGCGGATGCTCCCACCTTTATGCCGCACATGGCCGAGGCAAGTCTCAGATGGTTTATGTTTGCCTGATTCTTACCTTGCTGGCGTCTTAGGAGGGTGGCAAGCAGAACCAGCCGGTCAACAACCAGGTGCCTTTCGCGTCGGCGACGTGTGTTTCTTTGGAATAGACTTCGACGCTGGCGAGGTGGTCGCAGGGTTTTCAAGAAAAGTCTGCAACCGATGTTTTCTTGAATCACGGGTGTCTCTTGGTCGCAGGGTTTTCAAGAAAAGTCTGTAACCGATCGTTTCTTGTCTTTCCTCTCAGGATCCAAGTGTCTCTTTCTGAAAGTCCATGGTTTTCTTTCCAAGAAGGCGATGTTGCGTGGGTTGGCACGGCCAGTTGCCGGACTCAGTGAGCAATGAGCTGGACGTGATGCGTGGACGCGGCGCTCCCAATGGCCAAGGAAAAGGATGGGGCAAGGGTCGGACATCTGAATCGTGTGTCTCACTTGGGGGAACCCTCACAGGACTTGTGCTGCAGAAAGACAGACCCAGCGAGGTATGAGGTATGACGTTTCATGGCTTGTGCAAGGGGTCATGAGTCATTAGGACCTGCTAGGCTGCTTCGGAATGTCATTTCACGTCCAGACTCCAGACTCAGGTTTGATGCTGATTGCAGCGCTGAAGGACTGACGCTTCGTGCGAAGGCCCAAAGACTCTTGGAGGAAAGTAGACTTGCTCCCTAAAAGTTTTGTGCGAAGGACATTGAGCAAAGAGATGCGGACACCCCGGCAAAAGACAGTAGCGTAGCCTGGCACTCAGAGCACGTGTGCGAAATCTGGCATGGAGATGCCACTGACTGTTGAATATCATAGATTCTATAGATATGGGTACCCATATTGGCTTGGTCTCGGGTAGGTGAGAGAACTCGGGACCCGTCCAAGTGCTCTCTCCAGTTATCGGCCAAATGCTCTTGCCGATCCGATGGCACAGGCCTGGTTGGCTTGAGCCAAGCTGACTGCAGCGGAGTCTGGCTGGCCTGTGCTTTGGTGCAACGCAAGAAGCTTGGAAAGGTCGAAAGCTTGCAGAGCTTGATCGGTTTGCTTCCCTTGCAAGCACGCCAAAACCACAAGCCAAAGCATTTGGGGCACATGTTGTTGGGTGAAAACCAAATGTTCGCATATTGAGTGCATTGAGCTTGGATGGGATATGTGACAGTTATCTTGATTTGGGGGTCGACGTTTTTGAAGGGTAGACATCAGGTGGATAGCTACTGCGCATGCTCTTGTAGCTTCTATTGCAAGGGCAAGGGCAAGGTAGCATTGCCGCGGCTTCTGTTCATACTGGGTTTCCATATCGTATGGAATCCAAGTTCTATTTAACAAGCAACTTGTATGAGTGAGATCATTGTGTTCAGCAGTTGTGTGGAATTGACTTGTGCAGTTAGTATGGATCAAACCATGTGCGCATATACAATGGAATGCACCAACAGTCTGACTAGAAACCGAAATCCCAAGGTGGCATCTTGTGCGGAGACATCACAATCAAGGGCTATCAAACCTTAGATTCATTGGATTCATTGGCAAGGTTCGTTGCAGACAACTGAGAATTGTCAACGCCTGCAACTTGACTTTTGAAGCTTTCATCTTCATACAGCGTTGAAATCTGTATGGGGCAAGATTGATCGATGGCGTGCTCATCGAAGTTCAAGCACTGACCGGTAACAGCAGTGTAAGGGTAACAGTGCCGCATGTTGAGAACTGGGACTCGGAGCTGGAAAATCCGTAGCGTGAAAGAGGAGATAAGTAGGGCACAGTCCCAACAGCAGGTTCGGCTGCCCTGGTTGCCATATCACCAGATTCACCGCAAGCGCCAGTTGCAGGCAGCTTGCAGCACGATTGCAGCAGTGCCCTTTCCGGCATTGGAAAAGCACTGGAACTTGATGGAAGAAATTGCTGGTGTCAGCCGCGCGACCTCACTCGGCTGACTTAGGTAAGGAAATAGCCTTGCTGAACAAGCTCAAAGATTGTGCTGCGCGAGCCCAAGAGGGGCCGCGGCATGCGGCGGATTGCTGGAAGCCAAACATTGTCCTTTGTGGGCTCCTCACAAGATACATTTTGCCCAGTTGAAACAGTTTTTTTTTCTCCACCAAAATAAAGGGGAAACCACCATTGATAAGGCAATGTTCAGGTGTATAATGTAAGGATCCCTGTTGTGCTGCTATCAAACCGGTACATGTCGGTCTGCGTGGAGGGGGCATGGGGTCTCTGTGGGTGAGTGGATAAATGGATGCACCATCGGCCTCCTTGCTCTCATGCTTAGTGACTCATTTGGCAGTGTTGGAAGACACGCACACTCCCGACTTGTTTTTGCAAGGGCATTGACCAGACCCTGACCTCAGACGTGAGAACAGGGTTGTGTGACCCTATGCCATCAAAATCTTTGTGAGAAGCTCGGGAGTTTCCAGAGCGCAAGCTCAGCACTGTATTTTGTTTGAGTTGATCGAGGGTCCTCACCAAAGCTGGCTTGACCTGGCTGAGTGCTTTCGTCCGCGCGGCTCCATTCACATGAGGCAAAAAGTGGCGTCGAATTGCCAACAGACGAAATCTCTACGCCATGGCGCGTGGCGACTGTCACATGACAGCACCAATGGGACACATGTCTGGGCTGAGAGCAATCAATCATAGAAACCTAATTCTAGATGGGATGATGCTCTTAGCGATTTCTGGCACAGAAGGACTCAGGTCTCAGAAGTGTCAATGACTGCTTCCAGCTCTCAATGCTAGTTCAAGCCTGCAGCTTGGAGTGTTTAAGTGCTTCCACAAGCCAGGGCTGCAGTGGCCTAGGCCCGCGACCCATTTCATACATTGGTGTGGCATGGAGTATGTAGTTTTGCTGAGCTCCTTGACGCTGTTTTCATGTGTTCCACCGTGTCGCGCTGGCGTGATCTCCCATCCGAGACATCGCAGCAAATGTTTCTATTCACTGCAGCCAAGATTCTTCTGCACTTTGAATGTGTCCCAGTGCTGTGGCGGCAGACAAAAACAAATCTCGGGGTGAGAGGAGCGAGAGCCGCGAGAGGCGTACCCCTTGCATTTGTCTGCCGCCCCCGAATCAAAGAGTGCCCCTCAAGGCCATCGTGGCATTGACCTGTTTTTTGCGTTTGCGAGTGTCGGGCAGCTGGCTTCATGGTGCGACAAGTAAAGACGCAAGCGAGGTTTCGATGTAACAAGCTCATGAAGATAATGCGACTAATGGATGGCAGCATTGTTGCACTTGGCAGCCTGCCGGATTTGGGGTTGTGGCAGGCATTTCTCCGAGTTCTCCCACCACTATTCAAGACTGCATTCAGCAGCAGCAGTTTCCACTGGATTGCTGGACAGTGGCTTTCCTTTCTTGCCAACATGTGCATTTCAGTCAAAGCGACTGGCCAGCAAAGGCTTTTGAATGCCTGAGGTGCCTGAAGTTGCCTGGGGAAGTTTAAAGATCTCCAAACAGCACGTCCCAAGCTGCGGTGATTCGTGGGTTTGTACATGTCGTTTGCTGCCAGTTGATTCCCCTTCCCCCCGCCCTCTCTCCAAGTCAACATATCACGGAGAAGATGGGATGAATGGATATGTTGAGATGGGATTCGCTGGGTTGTGAGGAATCAGTGCCGCTTTTACTTTGCCTGGTGACTTGCCTTCGGGTACACGCAATCCCGCGAAGTCCGCAGCTTTGGGGCGTAAGGCATAGCTTGCTTCCAGGACGCTCGAGCAGTTGAGCTGCAAGAGTCGTCGTGTGGTGGATCATTTCACCGATGTGTGAATGTCAGGAGGCAAGTGGTGAGCCGATGCATTCGAAGAGTTTCTCTCCCGTCCTTCCCAAGGCTCCAAAGCGCAAGCAGTTTCG